TTCGTTCGAACCCCCGAACAACCCCTGGCTACGGGCCTGATTACACATTATTATAATATTAATATTATATATTATATTATTATTATATTATTATTATTATTATTATTATATTTAATTGTATTGTATTATTTAATTGTATATATATAATTGTATAATTAATCTGTATAATTTTCACATCTGTATAATTGTCTGAAATTCATAGCTTTACTATGCTCTAAACTAGCTTGACTGCTCTATACTAACTTCCTATAAACTATCTTACACCACTTACAGCAACGCATACAATTGCGTGCTCGATCCTATCCCTGCCTAAATGTATAGCTTATAATAAATTATGCTGAAATCGAAGCATTTATTAGTTTTTAGTACATTTGGTGAAGTCAGAGGCCGTGTTTCGAACCAACAGTAATAACGCTTCACTCATTTGTAAATACAATGAGTAGATACAACGTTTATATCCGGCATGTAGCGGATAGCTCAAAACTAGAGTCCCTTTATAGGCCTACAGAGAGTTACGACACGACGATGCGAAAAAATTTGGTCACGTGACTCGTGGATCCATTTTGGGGCCGGTACGGTACGGTGCTGTGCTGTTACATATGTTGATTGGAATACGAAAGCGTTTGTGTTTGTTTTCTGGACTGGAAATGCCGGGTTGTTGTGCATTTGGATGCACAAATAGACATGATAGTACAATCGGTTAGGTCAGGATACCATCAAAATCGTTCAAATTGTGAAAAAAGTGTGAAAATTGATACACTTGCATACTTTTGTATGCTCTTTCATTTAAAAACAGGACACACGCGATCCAACTACAACTTCGGCCGCCATCTTGAATTCAAAAATGGCCGCCGTCATTTCTTAAAAAATTGCTAGATCTCGGTTAATAATCTTCGTACAGACTTGAAAATTGACTGACAGACGTAATTTGGGTTACAATTTTATACAATAATGTGATGCATGTAATCCAAGGACGTTTTTGGCCACCATCTTGGATTCAAAATACCCCCCATAAAAATTTCAAAACTTAGCAATTTTTCCGTTCACGGAATATATAGAGACGTGAAAATTTGCAGACTGGCGCAGGTTAATAAGCTCTTTCATATTAAAACAAGACACACAAGTTCTAATTATAATTACAGCGGCCATATTGAATTCAACATGGCCGCCATCCCATTTTACTCTGTACTTCAAAATGATCAATGACATAGTATAACAGATACAAACATGGTGAAAATGTTGAATTACCGGTTTTTCTCAGTATATAAAAAACACAATGCCAAACTGGCAATCCCCAGTGTGAGAGAGAGATAATTCAAGACAACAAGTTGTAGTATACAGCACACAAGAACATGCATGGTCAGCTAAATAATACTATTGTTCAAGTTAAACAAATGTCTCGAAACTGCATTGTCCACAAGTTGTCGCAGATTGTCACTCAGTGCGGTAACATGTACCTGCACAAACACAAATATAATACTTGTATGTACAGTATAGTATCTGTTATGTGCGTGCGTTCTCGCGGGCGTATAGGTATCTGTTATGTGCGTGCGTGCTCGCGCGCGTGCTATCTGTTATGTGCGTGCGTGCTTGCGCGCGTATATAGCTATCTGTTATGTGCGTGCGTGCGTTCTCGCGAGCGTATAGGTACCTGCTATGTGCGTGCGTGCTCGCGCGCGTATATAGCTATCTGTTATGTGCGTGCGTGCGTTCTAGCGAGCGTATAGGTATCTGTTATGTACGTGCGTGCTCGTGCGCGTATATAGCTTCTGTTATGTGCGTGCGTGCGTTCTCGCGGGCGTATATGTACCTGTTATGTGCGTGCGTGCTCGCGCGCGTATTATAGCTTCTGTTAAGTGCGTGCGTGCGTTCTCGCGGGCGTATAGGTACCTGTTATGTGCGTGCGTGCTCGTGCGCGTATATAGCTTCTGTTATGTGCGTGCGTGCGTTCTCGCGGGCGTATAGGTACCTGTTATGTGCGTGCGTGCTCGCGCGCGTATTATAGCTCTAGCACAAGCAGTTCTTTAGCACCAAACAAGCAAGTTTGACGGCCGGGACAGTCTACTAAACGATCACGTAACGTAAACAAAAAATATGGCGCTTAACCAGTAAACATCATGAATTCAGTAAATCTATCCTCAATTTTCGAAACATCGGTTAAATCATGTGACAAAC